CTCTCTCTCTCTCTCTCTCTCTCTCTCCTCTCTCTCTCTCTCTCTCTCTCTCTCTCTCTCTCTCTCTCTCTCTCTCTCTCTCAGCAGGCTGCCGGTTGCGCGGGGGGAGGGGGAGGGGCATCATTGGTCACCCCTCCCGGACACACGCGGGACGACGGCAGCGGGCAGGGGGAGGGAGGGGCAGGGGGAGGGGGGGCGCCGCTGTCCATCACGCAGCACACACCAAACTGTGCTGCTCCAGCTGCACCAGTTCGTCACGCACGCTGTCAACGAAAATAACAGTCGGTTGTTGCCATGGGCTGTCTGTGAACGGTTTTTTGGGGAATCCATGGTCCATGTCGACTTTTCTGGCATTAAATCCACCTTAGCTAATGAATTAGGAATAACTGTTTTTACGATATTCCGAATAACTACTGGTTCTGCTTGCACCTACATGAGCAGCCGAAGGGATATTGCCTCATACCCCCAGCGCTGTACTGGATAATATGTATGTAGCTGCTGCCTGCACCCCTAACCCGTTCTCCCCTGCTCCCCGCTGCCCGGCCGCGGCAGCTGCGGGACCCGCGCTGGAAGGACCCCCATTTCCGGTTCGGCACTATCCTGCACGGCAACACGGACTCGCTGCTGAAACAGAACTTCCCCGAGATGCACCACTACATGCTCAAGTTCAACAAGAGCAGCGTCGTTGAGGGCATCAAGGCCGTCAAGAGCGGGTGAGCCGCCGCCGGCGGGGACAGGACCGCCGTCAGCAGCAAACAGCTGCACATTTGACAGTTCACCAGACTACTTACTAAAAACACCATATGTGTTTCGTTTTGCTGTATTGCTTCCACATTTATATTTCAAACGTGTTCTGATAATCTCCCATGGACTAAATCAGACAGAAAACTTACCTTCAGACAAGAAACTTACTAACAGTTTTTGCCGATAGTGCCTGTTCCTAGCCCGCGCCCCGTAGGGCTACCGGCGGACCCTACCACCCGTAGGGGGGGGGGCCGTTTCGGCCCCCCCCTAAGATCTCGGAAAGTTACCGGCCGATTTTCAAAATTCAAACGGCGTTCGATAGCCCCACCCGGGAACTACCTTGTGACCAAATTTCATTGACCTAGGTGAAACCGATGACGTCACAGGTCAGGTCAAAGGTCAGATTTTCACCGTTCACAGGCAATTCAAGAAATGTGCTGTGAAAGCGAGTAAATTGGTAATTTATTGAAAACCATCGATGGTACATTGTTCGTCAAACACATACTTTGCTATCTGAGGTCACTGATACCAGGTCAGGTCACAGCGAGGTCAGGTCACCGGGGGTCACAATATGAATGTGTCGTGTGATACATGTTTTATGGTCCATTTTACATGACAAATGCGATTATGTGGGTTAGGCAGCCTTTGGGGCCAGCCTAGGTCACGTTTTTGTGAAGGTCAGGTCAAGGTCAGGTCAAATTAGGTCAAATTTCAAAGTTGATATTTTTGCATAAAATGGGTATCGATTCGATGCAGCTCGTCACGGGGAGTCTAATGGTGGTCTTCGTTTTGCTCTACGAGTTCTAGAATTTCCAAAAATTGAGTTTGAAAATTTGACGTCATCATTTTTGAACAGTTTTTTCGCTATAACTTGGCCAAAAAACGAGGTATCGATCTGAAATTTGGTATGTAGATAGAAGACGGTAGGCACTATCACATATATTCCGGTTTTTTTCGAAACTCAAAAAACTTTTTAGATTTTTTGGCGAATATATCCAAAAAAATGCTTTTTTGATTTTTGGGGGTCAAAACTCAAAAATTTCAAAAATTCGAGATAGCAGTTTTGTAGCCCTGTCAATTCTACACCTTTTATGTCTTGATCATTTTTCTGTATCTTCAAAGCTGTAGTCCTGACAGGTCTTCTCGCGAAGGTCTTTTTTCGGTCGAAAATGACAGAACATGACGTCACTCTGACGTCATTTGTGGCCAACCTATCATAGCCTCTGGAAAAATTTTTGGTCACAATGTGTAAAATTGATGCCCGGAGGGGTCCTGAAAGTTTGGTGGCGATATCTCCAGCCGTTTAGGAGATATCGACCGAAAAGGACAGGGGGGGCCGTTTCGGCCCCCCCCCCCTACGGGGCGCGGGCTAGCCGTACGAATGGTGGCACAGTGTACCATCTGTTCCTCTGTGTCAGGGAGCTGGACGTTTATCTATGACTCCTGTGTTTGCAGGGAGCTGGACGTTTATCTATGGCTCCTGTGTTTGCAGGGAGCTGGACGTTTATCTATGGCTCCTGTGTTTGCAGGGAGCTGGACGTTTATCTATGGCTCCTGTGTTTGCAGGGAGCTGGACGTTTCTCTATAACTCCTGTGTTTGCAGGGAGCTGGACGCGTTCATTTATGACGCCACCGTGCTCGAGTACCACGCTGGTCAGGATGACGAGTGCCGTCTGCTGACCGTCGGTCAGTGGTACGCCATGACAGGTCAGTGACACGCCGTGACAGGTCAGTGGTCGGTGACGGATCAGTAGTCGGTGACAGGTCAGTGGTCAGTGACAGGTCAGTGACAGGTCAGTGACAGGTCAGTGGTCGCTGACAGGTCAGTGGTATGCCATGACAGGTCAGTGACAGGTCAGTGACAGGTCAGTGGTACGCCGTGACAGGTCAGTGACAGGTCAGTGACAGGTCAGTGGTCAGTGACGGGTCAGTGACAGGTCGGTGACAGGTCAGTGGTCGGTGACAGGTCAGTGGTCGGTGACGGATTAGTGGTTGTTGACGGGTCCCATTTCGCCCGGTCTGCCCTAGGCGACGTCCGTCTGCTGGCCCAGTCCACTCTGAGCTGGCGATTTTACACCGATACGGCCGGACCGCCTATTGGAGCCGCAGACCTTAGAAACAGCCTTTAAAGACACCACTCAGCCGTGGAAATAATTTCAAATGATCTCATTTGTGGAACGATTTTAGATTCCCGAGTAAAACTTTCCGACGACCTATAATTGCTTTCGCTGGGAAATACCAGAGTGGAGAAGTCTGAATTGAACTGGAATGGCCTGGGCTGATGTGTTGTCTCTCTGGCAGGGTACGGCGTGGGCTTTCCTCGCAACAGCAAACACATTGACGCCTTCAACGAGAGGATCATGCACTACCGGCAGAACGGGGACCTGGAGCGGCTGCACCGCTTCTGGTGAGCTCCGTCCCACAGTGACAGTCATACAGTACAATCATGCACTCAGTCAGCCAGTCATTACGAACTGAACTGTTTGCGGAGCAATGCTTAATCCTCTGATTTGGCACCTGGCGGGTGTCATGTTGGTCACCCATGTGCAATGGGCGTGCATCCTGTTTAGCGAACTCATGAAAGAAGATATGGAACTATATGATGCAGAAGACCGCTTGTCGATCGGTCGAGCATTTGCCGAAATATAAGGGGACAAAAATCGCTACGGCCCGCGGGGTTGTGTGGGGCCGTTCATACTGTGATTTTCCCATTGAACAACAGATACAGTTGCTCGCTCACTCGGTAATCACCAACCGATTAAGTAGCGTTGACACAATGTCATCATCGAACCCTGGTAACTTCAGACTCACCACGCACCACCATAAAAACAAAGCCCATCTGATACCGTCTACCAGGCAGCTAGGTTTTTCATTTCACTTTGATATATTTCACACATCGGCCGTCGCACAATCAACATTACTCTCACGGCGGCGGCAGGGCACCGCGCTCACACAAAAACAGCCGGTAAGAAGCTGCTTAGCACGCCCATGGGACGCACCTTGTCCCGCGCAGCGCGAACTCCGGCCTGGTGGGGACGACCGCCCCTGCCCGGCCCCTGTCCCGTCCGCGCCGCCTCACAACGCGGTGCAGCCATGGCACCGGGCGGCCCGGCCAGCCAGCAGCGCGCCTGCAGTGATACTGTGCCGCAATGACCGTACCTTCACTACTGGCCGCTAGATGGCAGTAGTAAGACGCCTGCAGTGATACTGTGCCGCAATGACCGTACCTTCACTACTCGCCGCTAGATGGCAGATGTAAAACGCCTGCAGGTATGCTGTACCGCAATGATGAGTACCTTCACGCTTTTGGCTGCAGTAGAGCGCCTGCAGTTGAAGTGTGTGCCATGGCGTTGGGAATTCTCTCCGATAAGCGTTGAGCGATTCACTATACCCTACGTTGAGCGTGCCCGTCGACTACGTCCTTGGAGATCGGTTCTTGTTCCACGTGGCGATGGAGCGCGCCACACCCTGTAGACTCGGAGTCGGATCCTGTGCCAAACGGCCTCGCAGTCATTGTGCGATTTGTCCTGCAGGGCAATTGCGAGACGTCTTGCCGAGTGCTTTGGCTATTCGCTTTAAAATTTATTTATTAACGCATAGGTATGTTTCATATCGTTATGACATCCAGTGGAGCATTCTCTGTCACGACTCACGACAGTAGGTACCTATCACTTACAATGGAAGAATCTGCCATGGTGTATGCATCTACGTATATCTAGGACTAAACGCTAAATGCAAGGAAGCAATTAGCAGAGACCCTACAAACCAGGCGGCATACCTAAATTGCGGCGAGGCGAGAGTGGCTGAAAGGTAATTACACCAGGTAATTGGGTAATGACACCGTAATTACACCAGCAAAGCTATGGCAGTGGCATAAAACATAAAGAGCACAAACACATTCGAACTCAAACGTTTTACCAACCTAGTCCGCTATAAGGATACTTTGCTTGTTATCGCGTTATCGCATAAGCGATGGTGATTAGATATCAATGAATGAATGAATGAGTGGATCTTCGAAGTGGTAGGCGTAGCATATTTCCTATAACTCACATAAAGATGGGAGGCACACAATTAAAATATTGCAAAGCTATAGATTATAAACTACCTACATATGTAGTCGACTACAGAATGATGTTCCACTTTTCACAGGCAATTATTTGCCTGGAGTGGTAGGCTGTGCCGCATCACACGGGCTGAGTTCACAAATTATAGCTATGTCCCAATGCTCACAATCGACACGCTTAATTGCGTGATAAACGGCACAACTTAGCGCTCCGGTCAACTGATAGCTTCTGAGGAGTGAAACATCATTCTGTAGTCGACTATTCATTGGATACCAACTTTATAGCAGTTAGTAACTAGTAGGTATGATAGTCCGATAGTCGGTCTATGTATATCATCACAGTATTTTAAACCCAACGTATTCGGTATTTTGTACTGTCTCGCAGTACCTATATTTAACATAAGCAAAGAACAACGATACAAAATAATAACGTAAGCGCAGCTCCGCGCGGCTCAAGCGTCAGCGGGCGACTCCCGCTCCGCGAGCCGGTCGTACACGGGTCATGTCACCACCAGGCGGCAGCACTGGTCCTGAGACCCGACCTCACGTGACATTACGACACCACATTCTCCTCCCCTTAACAGGACAGAACCGATAGTCCTCTGTACGCCTCACTAACGATAGTCCTCAACACGTCTCACTGAACGATAGTCCTCTACACTCATCACTCACGCTCACTCATCAAATCCGTAACGAACCGGACGTCGCACCTCGCGTCCGTACCGGGTTCTCAGCGTCGGCGACAGCGGCTGATCGGCGTCAGGTGCGGCCGGCTGCTCGGGCTGCGGCAGCTCGCTGTTCGTCTCAGCATGGTCGCGCTCAGTCTGCCTGCCATCGGCCGCCGTCTCGCCAGCTGCCTGCTGCTCCGGCTGGCTGTCGATCCGCTGCTGCGGCTGCTCGTCACGGCTGTCGGTGACCGCTCCGCCGCCGCTGGTCAACCGATCCGCGTGCACCCTCGTTCCGTCGTCGAGCACGTAGCTCGCTGGTCCCCGTCGCTCGAGCACCTTCTTCACGCGCGAGAAGCGGGGCCTGCCCTTGCGCGACTGAGGCGGAAGACGATGCCGTACCCGGTCTCCGATCTCGAAGTCCGGCTTCTTCACTCGATGCGTTTTGTCGAAGTACCTCTTCTGATACGCCTGCTTCTTCTCCACCCGACTGTGCAGCTCTCCGGGTCTCTCGGGAAGCCGTCCACCGACGTCCACCGCCGCGCTGAGCTTGCCTCTCATCGGCCTGCCGTGAAGCAGCTCTGCCGGTGTGCGTCCGGTCGTCGCCTGCACCGTGCTCCGGTACGCGAACAGGAACGCCTGCAGACATTCCGCTCTGTCAGCCTTCTGCAGGTCAGCCGTCTGAAGTGCAGCCTTGATGGACTTGTTTGCTCTCTCCACCAGGCCGGATGACTGCGGATGATACGGTGAGATCAGCACATGAGTGACGCCCACACTTCGCAGGTACGATGCAAATCGATCAGACGTGAACGCTGATCCACAGTCAGATACGACCTCCTTGGGATAGCCCTCACGACATGCCAACTTCTCGAGAAACTGAACAACAACTTCAGACGTGGGGTGCTCACAAAACCCTACTTCTATCCATTTTGAGTGATAGTCAATGGCCACAATCGCAAATCGCTGTCCAATTCGGCCACCCGCCATGGGACCAATAAAATCGAGACCCAGCTTTGCCCATGGCTCGTCAGGGAACGGTACAGGCTGCAGCGGCGCGCACCTCGGTGACGCTGTCTTGTCTGCTAGCGAGCAGACACTGCAGTTTCTCACCTGTTCTTCCACCGCCCTGTCCATCCCTGGCCACCAGTAGAGGTCTCGTAGCCTCTGTTTCGTCCGTACCATACCCTGGTGCCCCTCGTGGGCCAGCTTCACCAGCCTGGTACGGAGAGCAGTCGGTACCAGCACTCGCCCTCCTCGCAGGATGATGTCGCCGACGACGGCGAGCTCGTCCCTGCAGCGAAAGAACGGTTGCAGCTCTGGCACGCACTGACTGAAGCGTCGGGGCCACACACGGGGTATCTGATCCCTCAGCTTACCGAGCACGGGGTCAGCTCGCGACTCCGCCTTCAGCTCGTCAGCGCTCACCGCCGCTGTCTCCTCACTGAGAGCGGCGACCACCAGCTGCTCGTCCTCGGACACCACCTCCACCGGTGCCGGCAGACGCGACAGGCCGTCTGCTGGGTTGATGCTGCCCTTGACGTGCTGCACCGAAAAAGAATACTCCATCAGACGGCACGCCCAGCGAGAAATCCGCATCCCCGCTCGGCCAACACCACGTGACGTCATCAGTGTTTTGAGAGCCTGGTGATCCGTTCTGAGTACAAATTCCCTGCCCCACAGGTATTTGTGCCACTTCTCCACTGACCAGACACAAGCCAGTGCCTCCCGCTCAGTGACGCTGTACTGACGCTGGGCCTGTGACAGTGTGCTGGACGCAAAAGCGACCACGCGCTCACCTTCAGGGTGCGTCTGAGTGAGTACCGCACCGATACCGACGTCACTGGCGTCCGTTGTCACCGTCGTTGGCAGACTCGGGTCGAACATCGCCAGTGCTGAGCTCGTCAGGATCGCTTCCTTCACGTCCTCGAAGGCAGACTGCATCTCGGCCGTCCACTTGAAGGGTGGTGCGCCCTTCCTCAGCGGCCGCCGTAGCTCCTCGACTCGAGAGCTGTACCCTGGAACGAAACGGCTGTAAAACCCGAGCAGCCCCAGCATGGCTTGCAGATCCTTCACCGTACTCGGTGCCTTCAGCTCCTGCAGACCCTGAACTCGACTGGGGTTGATCTCGATACCGTCTTTCGAGACAGAGAAGCCCAGGAAACCGATCCGCTCAACTCCAAAGTGACACTTATCTGCGTTCAGCGTCACCTGGTAATCCTCCAGCTTCTCCATCACCGTCTTCAGTCTCGCGTCGTGCTCCTCCCTGGTACGACCAGCCACGATGACGTCATCCAGATACACCTGGGTACCGGGCAGGCCTCGCAGGATCGTCTCCATCAGCTTCTGAAAACAGCTGGGTAACGACCGCATACCGTAGCAGCATCTGCGATACCGGAACACGCCCTCGTGCGTCACGAACGCCGTCAGGTTCCGCGAGTCCTCGTGCAGCATCAGCTGGTGATAGGCGGCTTTCATGTCTAGCGTCGAGAACACAGTAGCCCCCACCAACTGATCAAGCATCTCCTGCATGTCCGGTAACGGATACCCACTGGTGGAGACTGCCTCATTGACGACTCGCAGATCCACACACAATCTGATCTGACCTGACCTGCGGCGAGAAACGACGATCGGCGAGATCCAGGGTGATCCGTCTACTCTCTCGATGATTTGCTGCTCTTCCAGTTCCTGCAGATGTCGCTTCACCTCCTCCCGGATGGCGAACGGTAGCGGCCTCAGCTTCTGCTGGACCGGAACGGCGTCACCTCGCAGCTGAACCCTGTGAACAAACCCTCTGATGGGCGGCAGCACGTTCGTCGTCTCATTAACTGACCTCGGTGCGGCGTCGGCTACCGCACAGACGACTGAGCCGTCCTTCACGGAGATGTGAAGACTCCTCTGAAGATCGCGTCCGAGCAGCGCTGTGCTGCCGTCCGCCACGTACAGAGAGCTCTGACAGCTCCGGCCGTCCTCGGTCTCCACCGTCACCGCAATCACGCCTGCCACCGCCAGCCGGCTGCCTCCAAACGCCTGCAGTCGGGAGGTGGTTGGCTGCAGAGGAACGTGAGTCAGTTGCTGCTCATACACTTGTCTGGGTACGATCGACACTGCTGCTCCCGTGTCTACCAGCATGTTCATCCAACACCCAGCTATCTTCACCTTCATTTTCAGAGCGCAATCATTCTGAGTCACAGCGAGAATGTGCACGGCATCATTTTCATCAACAGATCGCACGGGTGTTACTTTTGAGCGACATCTCACTGCAAAGTGCCCAACTGCACCACATTTCCTGCACTTCTTCCCCTTAGCAGGACAGTCATCATCAGTGGATACGTGTCCCAGTCGCCCACATGCATAGCATGACTTGCCTTTTGTGTGCTGACCCACCGGCGCCGATGACGTCTTCCGAGTCGCGAGAGCCACCTCGACCGGCGCTGAGGCTGCTGAGGCGGGGTGGTCACGCCGCCTGGCTCCACCTCCCTCTCCGAACAGACGCTGTCTGTCCACGGCCCGGTCCTCCGCCAGAGCTATGGACTCAAGGCGCTGTAGCGTCAGCTGGTCCTCCACACACAAGCGATCACGCAGGCGACCAGACACACATCCTTCAACAAACTGATCACGGATCAATTCATCTTCTAAAGCCCCGAAAGCACAATGTCTGCTCTGTTCCCTCAGATTCGTCAAAAATACAGTGACTGTTTCACCCGGCTTCTGACGGCATCTACGAAACTTTATCCTCTCAGACATGACATCTCTAGGCTTTTCAAACAGTTGCTGGAGTAGCGAGAGACAATCTGACATCACATTACCTTGTGACTCATGCTTCACCTGCGGTGCTGTCTCCGTCCCGCTAGCTCCCGGTTCGCTCGTCCCGCTGACCTCTGTTGTCGCCGGAGGGCACGCCGTGACCCGATGTTGTGCCGCAGTGGCCGCCTCGGCCGCCACCCGGTACCGACGCCGACCCTCCTGCCCCAGGCAGTGTAACAGGAGCGCTTGCTGCCGAGCTGGATCCCACTGCGACCAGCCGATGGCTGTCGCGTACAGTTCGAAGTCTGCATACCAGGCCGACCAAGGGATGCTTGCAGTCGCTGCCGTGGCCAGAAATGGTCCCGGTGGACGAATCCCTTCCATCTTGCTGCTGGTGCCAGATCTCCTCTCACTGTTCACTGATCACTGATCCTCGTCGCCAGAATTATGTACTGTCTCGCAGTACCTATATTTAACATAAGCAAAGAACAACGATACAAAATAATAACGTAAGCGCAGCTCCGCGCGGCTCAAGCGTCAGCGGGCGACTCCCGCTCCGCGAGCCGGTCGTACACGGGTCATGTCACCACCAGGCGGCAGCACTGGTCCTGAGACCCGACCTCACGTGACATTACGACACCACATATTTTGTTGGTACTATCTATGTTGAAGGAGCATTAATGCATAAGATGCTCTGAAAACTATGGTATTTCTATCAAATGACTTTGATTTTCGCTATTATCTCATTGGTTTGATTGCTATTTGATTATTGTTGATCTCCAAATTTTACGTACCTAAGAACTTGACATCACTGATGCATGTTACATGAAATATGTATAGGATACCCTGTACCAGTATGTTGTGTTGAACGGCACAGACCCGATCAGCGGCCGAGGAGCAGCAGTAGCGCCGCAGCGTCACATTACCGTGTGTGTGTCTGGCCGCAGGTTCACGGGCGCCTGTCGGCCCGACCAGCAGAAGAAGTCGAGCAGCAACCCGCTGACGCTGGACCAGTTCCTGTCGACGTTCCTGCTGCTCGGCTGCGGCATCCTGCTGTCGGCCGTGCTGCTCGGCTGCGAGTACCTCTACTTCCGGTCAGTGGCGCGCCGGTCCCGTACCTCTACTTCCGGTCAGTGGCGCGCCGGTCCCGTACCTCTACTTCCGGTCAGTGGCGCGACGGTCCCGTACCTTTACTTCCGGTCAGTGGCGCGACGGTCCCGTACCTTTACTTCCGGTCAGTGGCGCGACGGTCCCGTACCTCTACTTCCGGTCAGTGGCGCGCCGGTCCAGTACCTCTACTTCCGGTCAGTGACGCGCCGGTCCAGTACCTCTACTTCCGGTCAGTGGCGCGCCGGTCCAGTACCTCTACTTCCGGTCAGTGACGCGACGGGCCGGGCGTGCGCTCCGAGCGGGGCACCGGGGGGGGGGGGGGGGGCGCTACAGAGCAGGACACTGCTGATATCAGCTGAGCGGAGAGAGCAGGACACTGCTGATATCAGCTGGGAAGAGAGAGCGGGACACTGTTGATCAGCTGGGAGGGGGTGGGGGACTCCAGAGCGGGACACTGCCTGATATCAGCTGGGAGGGGGTGGGGAGTCCAGAGCGGGGCACTGCTGATATCAGCTGGGCTGGGCAGGCGGCCCACAGTGTATGGCAGGCTAACCTCTGCAACGGCACTGAGACAAACGCCGGAGAACCGGACCCGGCGAATACTGGCGATCGAACATTCACACGGCTCATGCTGTATTTCATCGGGTCACACTGGGTGTATGAGCTGCAAGTGTGTAAGTCACTGCTGCGTAACACTAATGGCCCTTCGAAGTTGTGCCGTGGTGAGGCCTGAAGTGGCTCGTGCTGTCGTTGTTTCAGGTACGTGCGGCCGCGGCTGGCGCGAGTGGACCGCGTGGGCGGCTGCTGCTCGCTCATGTCCCTCAGCATGGGAAGGTCGCTCAACTTCCGCGGCGTCGTACTGGAGGCGCAAAACACCATGAAGGTACGGGAACGGTCCCCCGGACAGATGGTACCCCGACTCCCCTGGACCGTAGTCCCAGCGTGGTTCCCAGTCAAGCCGCCGTGGAACGGCCATGGTTAATCGCTCAATAATCGATGTGACTGTGTGACAGGATTTTTTATTGTATCTTGTGCGATTTCCACGCATATTAAATTTGTGTTCCTTGTATGATATCGTAATCCGTACGGGCATTGATGTCATCACCCTTATTATGAATGACGTAACCCATAGATAACATGAATCGTCTCGGAGGCTGACATGGATCCCTCAACTCAGAGACCGTAACGGACGCTCGGGACGCCAAGTGGAACCTTTCCGGGCCTGCTGGCGCCATCCGGTATCGGTGGTGCAGTGCCCCGCGGCCCTCAGAGAGTGTCTGTATGTGTGGATGTCAGTCGCTGACCGTCTATGTTGTGCCGCGGCAGTCGCTGACTGTGTGTGTGTCTGTGTGTGTCGCGGCAGTCGCTGACTGTGTGTGTATGTCTGTGTGTGTCGCGGCAGTCGCTGACTATGTGTGTGTCTGTGTATGCCGCGGCAGTCGCTGACTGTGTGTATGTCTGTGTGCCGCGGCAGTCGCTGACTGTGTGTATGTCTGTGTGTCGCGGCAGTCGCTGACTGTGTGTATGTCTGAATGTCGCGGCAGTCGCTGACTGTGTGTATGTCTGTGTGTCGCGGCAGTCGCTGACTGTGTGTATGTCTGTGTGTCGCGCGGCAGTCGCTGACTGTGTGTATGTCTGTGTGTGCCGCGGCAGTCGCTGACTGTGTGTATGTCTGTATGTGCCGCGCGGCAGTCGCTGACTGTGTGTGTGTGTCTGTATGTGTCGCGGCAGTTGCTGACTGTGTGTGTGTGTGTGTCTGTGTGTGTCGCGCGGCAGTCGCTGCGCCGGTGCCGGGACGCCGCCTGCGACACCCAGCTCTGGCGTCTGAAGCACGAGCTGCAGCTGGCGCAGGCGCGCCTGACGGCGCTGGAGCAGCAGTGCGGCGCGCGCGGTCTGCCCGGCTCGCCGGCCAGCCGCCGCCGGCCGCCGGACGTGCGGCCCGACGACATCATGGACTCGAACCACGTCCGGAGGAGCCGGTCGGCCGAACGGTGGCCGCCGGCCGCGCCGCAGCACCTCAACACCAGGTGGGCGGCACCCCCGGACCAGGGGGTGTGCACCTCCACACCAGGTGGGCGGGCACCTCCGGACCAGGGGTGTGCACCTCCGGACCAGGGGTGTGCACCTCCGGACCAGGGGTGTGCAGTGTGCACCTCAACACCAGGTGGGCGGGCACCTCCAACCCAGGGGGTGTGCACCTCCTCACCAGGTGGGCGGGCACCTCAACACCACTGCCGTGCAAAGGAAAAAAAGGGTATCTCAGAAAACTCAACTTTTCAGGAGAGCTAAAAAACGATTTCTGGCCGTTTATGCCTTTTCCTTCACATCTAGGTTAATGCTGAGGCTATTGTTTACCATCATTCGATCACTTACGGTTTGATGCGTACCACGGTACCTTTTTTTATTTACATAATATGTATGCATATGGGATAAGTTATGATGGATAATGTTTATTGCCTTTGCATCTGAGAGCCATAAGACAGCCATAGTGCAATGGAAAAAAGGGGCAAGTCGCCGACGACTGAGATGCCGCTTTTTTCCTTTGTAAAGTGACGCTGATTTTCACACATGTACAACTCTTGTAAAAGAATGAATGGCTGAATGAATGGCTGGAAGATACCATTGGCCCCCGGATGACGAGAGCCTTTGGTGACCGAGACGCCGGGCCCATCCGTTCCCTGGGGAATCACGAGCCCTCCCCCCCCCCCCCGGAGTCCCCGGCCAAGTTTGGAGCCTGGCCAGCGCCTCTTCACTCCTCTTGGAACCCGGAGGGTCTCGTGATTCCTCAGGGAAGGGATGGGGTGATTGTCTAATCACCGAAGGCTCCGAGGTCCACCTACCGGGAACTCGGAGGGGCTTGTGATTTCCCAGGGAAGGGACGGGGTCGGCGTATCGTCACTGGAGGCTCGAAACTCGGCTGGGAACCCGGAGGGGCTCGTGATTCCCTAGGGAAGGAACGGGTCCGGTGTCTCGTCAGCGAAGGCTCCGAAGCCTTCCGGGAACCCGGAGGGGATCATGATTCCCCAGAGAAGCGACGGGACCGGCGTCTCGTCACTGAAGGCTCCAACCTGTTGTTGTTCTTGTTGTCCCTCCGCTCAGTCAAGCGTAGCCGAACGGCTCTGGAGAGACCTGGTAGCGGTTGCCAGGGCCGCCACCACGTCGTCGTCCCACAGGTCCTTTAGGTGTGGGTGTATATAGACCCCAGCACTCGCAAAAGGGTTCCCATCAGAGCCGCGTAGCGCGCCAGGACGTGCCTCGGTTTGTCCGCCTCTTCTTTGCAGATGGGGCACCGCGCCGCCGGGCACATGTGGTTGTTGCATTGTTCGCATCGCCCGCCAGGGTTTCGTCCAATCCTGTGTAGGTATTGTGGCGACGCCGATCAGTGACTGGCTCGTAACTGATGGACGTCGGCCGCCCTCGTTCGATCCAGGACGGTCACCGGCGGAGGGGGGTTGTTCATGGGCTGGCCAGTGTTCTGCACCGGCGAGCCCATGAGGTTCCGGTACCAGCCCATGGACCACCTCGCCGTCACTCGCGCCCGCGCCGATCTGGTCGCGGCTCGGTGAACCGTTTGCACGTCCAGCGGGGCTCTTTGGCCAGGGTGTCCGCTCGTTCGTGTCCCACCAGCCCGCAGTGAGAGGGGACCCACTGCAGATGGGCCCGGCGGCCCCGCTCCGCCAGCGTAAGCAGGGCCTGCCATATTGTGGCACCCAGCCGTGACTGCTGGGCCGCCGGTCCCGCGCGCAGGGCCGATAGGGCCGACTGGCTGTCGGTGCACAGCATCACCGGGTCGCCCGGGTCCTCCTCTGGGTGGTCCAGCAGCCAGCTCAGCGCCGTGGCCAGGGCCAACATCTCGGCCCGGTAGCTAGAGCACAGCCGGCCCGCTGGGGCTCGCAGTTCCTGCTCTTCTCCCGGCCGAACCACCAGCGCGCCAGCGCCTCATTGTCCACTCCGCCCTCCGCCGAGCCGTCCGTCCAAATCCAGGTCGCGCACTGGGTTAGGCCTCTCAGGCACCTCTCCGCCGCCCGTCTTCTGTCCGCTGCCGACGCGCCCAGCGGCAGCTTGCCGACATCCAGGGCCAGCGAGACACCAGCCGTACCCATCCACGGCGGGGGGCGGCGGGAGATCATCGGCTCGATGGGGCCCGCAACACCGGCCGCCGTCCAGACTTCCCGGCCCAGAGAGCGCCATCCCCCGGTACTCCTCAGGCGTACGGTGGGACAGGCCTCCGCTACTCTTCTAAGAGGGTACTCCCTCCCGGGGTAGAGCCAATGCTTTGGCCAGGAATCTCGCCGCTAGGGACTCTCTTCTTGCTGCGACTGGCACAAGGCCCGCTTCCGCCATCACCGCGTGGGCTGGGGTGGAGAGGGGGTACGCAGCGATGATGCGCACCACCGCCCTCATCTCTCTCTCTCTCTCTCTCTCTCTCTCTCTCTCTCTCTCTCTCTCTCTCTCTCTCTCTCTCTCTCTCTCTCTCTCTCTCTCTCTCTCTCTCTCTCTCTCTCTGTCTCTCTCTCTCTCTCTCTCTCTCTCTCTCTCTCTCTCTCTCTCTCTCTCTCTCTCTCTCTCTCCTCTCTCTCTCTCCAACAGCTCCACGTGGGAGGGGGGGGGGGTGTCTCCGGGAGCCACGCTGCTGCCGCGTGCTCCATGACCCCACAGATGTAGCCCTGGGCCACCACGCGGAGCTGGCGTTCTTCTAAGCCCCAGCTGCGGCAAGTCAGCTTTTTGAGTTGGCGGATCCTTGGTCGGGTTCGCTCCTTCAGGCTCCAAACTCGGACGGGGACCCGGGGGGGGGGGCTCGTGATTCCCTAGAGAAGGGACGGGGCCGGCGTCTCGTCAGCGAAGGCTCCGAAGTAGGTATATCGGAAACTCTGAGGGGCTCGTGATTCCCCAGGGAAGGGACGGGGTCGGCGTCTATTCGCCGAAGACACCAAAGTCCGCCGGTGATTCGGAGGGTCTCGTGATTTCTCAGGGAGATGGCGTCTCGTCACCGAAGGCTACGAAGTATTCAGAGAGCTTGGAGGAGCTCGCTATTCTCAAAGGAAGGGACGGGGCTGGCGTCTCGTCTCGTCAGCTTAAGCATCAAAGTCTAACGGGAACTCGGAGGGGCATGTGATTCCCCAAGGAAGGGAGGGGGCCGGCGTCTCGTCATTGGAGGCTCGAAACTCGGCCGTGGGCCCGGAGAGTCTCGTGATTCCCCAGCGAAGGGAGGGGGCCGGTGTGTCGTCAGCGATGACTCTTAAGTCTTCCGGGAACTCGGAGGGGCTAGTGATTCCCCAGAGAAGCGACGGGACCGGCGTCTCGTCACTGAAGGCTCCAAACTCGGACGGGCACCCCGGGACCCGGAGTGGCTCGTGATTCCCCAGGGAAGGGTCTCGTCACCGGAAGCTCCAAAGTCAGCCGGGAACTCGTGCGTATATATGGGGGGGGGGGGAGGGGTAGGTACTGAGAATAGGATGCTATCGCTAACCGACGGCGATCACTATGGCGCCAAGATCATAGGGGTGGCGCACCATTTGGATGTTGGAAATGTTTGCGTTCTTAATTTAGCGACCATTATAGTAGGCGACGCCAAACAACAAAAGCAGATGGATATATGTAAAATTAAGGTGACATCTTATTGCCACTTGTACGAAAAAAACTGTTCAATAAAAAATTGTCGGTATACTGACCCAACGCTAAAATAAGATCCATTCAAGCACCGCCATTTATACCAATGATTTACAATACGAACGGGTCATGGAGCACCTCTCTCTTGGAGATTCATTCACTCTGGCCGAGTTGCCACTTTTTTCCCTTGCAACGCTTTGTAGATCACGAAGAAAGGTCAAGGGAAAAAAGCGGCATGTGGTCAAATCGAACTTACCCCTTTTTTCCTTTGCATATCTGATGTCTTTTGGGCACTCTTTACAAAATAATAGTTTTTGCCAAAATTAAAATGCTTATATCTCAAAATTTTACATATATAACCTAACACAGTGGTCGGCAGGTCATTCGGGGTCGTGCCCCCTTTTTGGGCGCCAGGCAGGGCCATTACCCCCACCTACCAGACCCCATTGCTGACACAACTAAGTTTACTGAAATTCCATACCGTCCTGGAACTCTTTGGGTATTTGTGCATTTCCAATGCATCAAATTTAAAACATGACACTTCCTCCACAAAACATTTAATGCCTATATCCCAGTAGCGGCGGAACACCTTAAATTAAGGGGGAGGGGGAGCACTGCCGACTTTTGGTCCCATTCTTTCCATGCAACGCCCATAGGGCTGGGCTAATGTTAAAATGCAAAAATCAAAGGGTGCACGGTGCCCCGGTGCCCTCCCCGTTACGCCGCCTATGCTATATCCCATTTAACCCTTGTACGTATAGGGGCGGCGGGTGGTTTTTCGTTAAAAGCTCACGTAAAAGGCATTGGATCACGACCAAATTGTACCCTCGAGCCCATCATTTTTTTTTTCACCAGCCCGGAAAATATCATGACCTGAGACCTGTTTTACCAACAGAAAAATAACCGCCTGCCGGAATTTTTGCATCAAGACCGCTTCACATACGGAGCGTAAACGCGATGGGCTCGTAAGCGGATAGGGCTTTACCGTTTACGCTCCATATGTGAAACGATCTTTAGGCAAAATTTCCGGCAGGCGGCTATTTTTCTGTTGGTAAAACTGGCCTCTGGACCCATAATGACCGTTGGCTTATGAGCTTTTTCTGGAGATCATCTTGAGCCATAAAATATCACTTCAAGAAGTTATAGTGGGTCCCGATTTTCTCGACACTTATCATTGCCCTCTTGAATGAGACGGAATGACCAGGGACCTTAAAAATGGGTAGCAGCGGCTTCCTATGGTCACGGGTAGCACGCTCGTCTTTTTTATGCACAGCTCCATATCAGAGTCCGAGAGGCCGCGGGGGTTCGATCGACTCCTCCCCCTTACGTTAGCGGCTGTTGAAACGCCAACAGACGGGCGACGGTTAAAAGTTGCAGCTGCTTTTGAACGACTGTACGGAGGGGTGAGATGGTGAGGCGAGCAGGTACGTGAAAATTGGTATCTAATCAATGTGTGCTGTGCCTTTGGCCTGGGCTAATCTTTGAACCCTGGGATGCAACAGTCACGATGGCTCCATCACTGGAGCTACAAACTCTAAAAAGATAGGCTTTCTCAGAATCCCTCATTAACCCCACCGAAAGGGCTCCATTACCCCCAAAGGGGGCATGCCCCACCATTTGCCGACCCCTGACTAACAAGATATTAGTATCAGACTATTTGTCTCGTAGAGATCTATCTGGTGATACCAATATCTTAAAATCACCAAAAATTGAGTTACCCTTTTTTTCCTTTGCACGGCAGACCAGGTGGGCAGGCCCTCCACACCAGGTGGGCGGGCCCTCCACACCAGGTGGGCGGCCGCGGGCCCTCCACACCAGGGCCACACCGTTCCGCCCCCGATACTGACCCTCCGCCGTTCCGCCCCGATACTGACAGTCGGCCCGTTCTGCGCCGATACTGACCCTCTGCCGTCCTGCCCGCAGGCCGGCGGCCGAGTCGTGGCAGGTGGCGGAGCTGGAGACGGTGCTATAGGCGACAGTGACGCCGCGCAGCGTCCGCCGCTGAAACACTAGTTACCGGACTCGCCGTGCGGCGGCGCTGTGTGCCGCGCCGGGGTACCGCCCTGTTACCGAGCAGTGTGATATTTGCGGAGCTCGGAGGTGTTTTCTAGTCTTCAGAGTGAGCATGTTTGCGCGCCGCGTAGTGAAATGACGTGACAGTGAGCCTGAGGACCCAGCCTGTTCACTGATGCTATACCGACGTCCCGGACGGCGGCCGGCAGAGACGGGTACTGGGACTGGGCGGCTGATCGACCGCCGCCCGGCCGGCTCACTCAACATTGCCACTCATTGCTGTCCATGTCCATCAATATCACCGGATGTGGGCGACCTCGCAGTCAGAATTCATCTCACACCACTAGCGGTTCATTGTCTGACCCCTAACCGATGTGCAAGGTCGCGTTCTCAGCTCGCCCACGTGCCGCCCAGGCCGGGGCGCCGGTGTACCTCCTACTACCCAGGCCGGGGGCGCCGGTGTGCCTCCTACTACCCAGGCCGGGGGCGCCAGTGTACCTCCACCGTCCAGGGGCCGACCGTTCACCGTGTGACAATACAGCCGCCCGACTCTGTATCTCTGTCCCCGTATCTGCCGCCCGGCTCTGCATCTGTCCCGGTATCTGCCGCCCGGCTCTGCATCTCTGTCCCCGTATCTGCCGCCAGCCTGATTCTATCCCCTGGGACGTTCCACGACAAATCGACAAATAAAAAATTAAATTTGCACCCACATATTTTATTCTTCGTTGAAAACTGGTGTTAGGGGTTGTGATGGGCGGGGAAGCCAGCTGTGGCAATGATTTTTTTCTTCGAACAACGGTTTCCGAGATATAGCCTCAGGCAATTCCTGGAGGTCATACTGCAGCCCTATGTTTGGCGGCCTATAACTCAGAAACTATTGGTTTTCTACGATAAAAACTTTATATGGTTCAACTCACAATCAACCAACAAACATTTTGGCTATCTCGGATTTTCAATTTTCGAAAATTTTGATCACGTGACCTTTTGACCTATTTCTAAAGAGTGACCTTGATATTTTCCCCATTAAAAGTTAAAATTTTGTCTGATGACGATTAAAGCCTTATCAATTGTCATTCATATGCGATAATAAAAAAGTGGCTATCGCACTGCGTTGACCTCAGGTCAGGTCATTTTTATGACCTGTCCATTATTACGAGCGGGAGCGACAGCGAGATCTCGAGAACAAAGCAAGATAGCGACAAGCGGTAAACGATTCAGGGTACACACGGATAAGGTCTACAATTTTTACTGAGGTCATTTTCAGGTCAGGTCAAAGATGACGTCACAGGGGCAAAAAAGAGGTCCCTATTGACCCTAGTGACGGTGCTGCCGGCGGACGGAGGTAGCAGAGGCGCCGCACGGTCCGCGTGCACATGGCGCAGATGGGGCGCCCTCCCCGGCACTCAGCAGCGCCCTCCCCGGCACCCAGCAGCGCCCTCCCCCACTGCACTCAGCAGCGCCCTCCCCCACGGCACTCAGCAGCACCTTCCCCCAGCGATCGGACGCGTCCCCACTCGGGACCGACACGACACCAGCCGTTATTAAACACCGAGCCTCCGTAAAGGGTCACAAGCCACATCGGAGTCGTTTTATTTCACACCCAATCATACAATAGGTAGGTCACTAAGAAACAATTCATAATCAATATGCAGGCGGCGCGCCGTGCCGCCGGCGGCGCCCCCTGTGCCGGGCGGCGCGGAGGGGGCGGGGGGCGGGGCTACTCGTACACGTCCTCGCGGTCGGCCACGTACCGGACAATGTCGGCCGGCCGCATCAGCTTCTCGGCGTCCATATCGGGAATCTCGAACCCTGCAGGTCACAGAGCACAGTCAGCGCAGTCAGCGCGGCCAACACAGAGCACAGTCCGTACAGATCACAGAGCACAGTAACACAGTACAGTACAGGGCATCTCACAGTCAGCTCAGAGCAGTCAGCACACCACGGTAACACAAAGAACGGAGCACTGCAATGTCAGCACAGAGCACAGTAACAGAGTAGAGAGTACAGTCAGTACGGCATGGTAACACAATACAGGGCATTGCACAGTCAGCACAGAGCACGGAGCACAGAGCACAGAGCACAACACAATAACGAACCGCAGAGAGCACTGAACGGCGTCCACGTCGGGAATCTGGAACCCAGCCGATATAACAGGGCTGCGCCACCACCGACCATAGAGTGATGTACGGTGACAGACCGCAGACCACAGCGCACTGTACGGTAACAGACCGCAGACCACAGCGCACTGTACGGTAACGGACCAGAGACCGCTGAGCACTGTACGGTAACAGACACAGCGCACTGTACGGTAACAGACCGCAGACCACAGCGCACTGTACGGTAACAGACCACAGACTACAGCGTACTGTACGGTAACAGACCACAGACCACAGCGTACTGTACGGTAACAGACCGCAGACCACAGCGTACTGTACGGTAACAGACCGCAGACCACAGCGCACTGTACGGTAACAGACCAGAAACAACAGCGCACTGTACGGTAACGGACCAGAGGCCGCTGAGCAAGTGTACGGTAACAGACCGCAGACCACAGACTAGAGATGTCAATCGGATACCAACTTTTTGGTATACCGATACCAAACCGATACCAACTTGGTATTTGGTATTTCAATCGTAATGTGTTTGGTATTTTGTTGGTATCATAAACCGTCACTTAAGAGGCTAAGAAATCGGTAAAAAGTTGGTATTTCCCTCATTTTCCCAAGTTGGTTTGGTTTCGGTATTTTCCCGTGGTTTTGGTTGGTATTTGGCTTGGTATCGGTATTCCGATTTTCCGTAATTGACATCACTACCACAGACCACAGCGAACTGTACGGTAACAGACCAGAGGCCGCTGAGCACTGTATACGGTAACAGACCGCGGCAGCGTGCAGTAGGAGGGCACAGGACGGTCCCACTCAGGGTATATATCGGTCCCACTCACCGAACTCGTCCTCCATGGACATGATAACCTCGACGTGGTCCAGGGAGTCCAGCCCCAGGTCGTTGATGAAGTGTGAGTCGACCGTGAGCTGGGGGGAGAGATACCATCAGATACAGTCAGATACGGTCAGCCACACAGAGCGACACACAGCCAGCAGGGGGAGTCCGGTCAAATACGGTCAGACAGGGGGCGACACACCGCCAGCAGGGGGAGTCCGGTCAGATACGGTCAGACAGGGGGCGACACACCGCCAGCAGGGGGAGTCCGGTCAGATACGGTCAGACAGGGGGCGACACACAGCCAGCAGGGGTAGTCCGGTCAGATGGGGGCGACACACAGCCAGCAGGGGGGTCCGGTCAGATACGGTCAGACCGGGGGCGACTCAGCCACAGCGGACAGAGCGTCTCACGGCCTCTGACCGCGGCCCGCGGACCGGGAGCTGCGCCAGACGCCCAGGTCCGGCTCGGCGGGTGAGGCGGGGTAGGGGAGGGCTCTGTACCGGCCGCGGCCCGCGCCTCCCAGCAGCCCGTGCAGCCCGCGCTGCCGGCCTCTTCAACACCACCCGGGACGACTGACTGGCTGGGGTGTGGGTATTGTGGGCCAGGGGCGCTGCGACCAGCTATCACAGTGCGGCCTGCCGGCGGGGGCTCACCCTCTCCGGTACACCGCTCCGTACCGGGAGCTCCCCTCCGCTACCGACCAGCTGTCAGAGACAGGGGCGGCCTGCCGGCGGGGGCTTACCCTCTCTGGTACACCGCTCCGTACCGGGAGCTCCCCTCCAGTACCGACCAGCTGTCAGTGCGGCCTGCCGGCGGGGGCTCACCCTCTCCGGTACACCGCTCCGTACCGGGAGCTCCCCTCCGCTACCGGCCAGCTGTCAGTGCGGCCTGCCGGCGGGGCGGGCCTCACCTTCTCCGGGTTGATCTTGTCGTAGAGTTTGAGCACGAGCAGCACCCGGTCCCGGATGATATCCAGGGTCAGCGGGTCCTTGGCCGAGTAGAACCGCGTCTGCAGCTCCGCCTGCCGGCAGCGGCGCGGCCCGTCACCAACGCGGACACAACGGGACACCACCGCGGACACAGCCGGTCACCACAGCGGACACAGCCGGCGGACACAACGGGACACCACACCGGACACAGCGGGACACCACAGACCGGACGGTGTCCGGACAAATTGCCGAAAGGCTATTTGCCGAATGTCATTTTGCCGAATGCATTTCGTCGAATGTCATTTTGCCGATGTGCTTTTTGCCGACGTGTCAAAAAGTCGAAGTGCTAAAAGTCGAAATGCCATTCGCCGACATGCGTTTTTGCCGAAATGACAATTAGCCGAAATGCTTATTAGTCGAAATGCGATTTGCCGAAACGTCGATTAGTTGAAATGTCGATTAGTCGAAATGTCAATTAGTCGAAATGTCAATTAGTCGAAATGTACATTTGCCGAAATGTCAATTGGCCGAAATGTCAATTGGCTGAAATGTAAATTTGCCGAAATTTCAATCTGCCGAATTGGCAGTTTGCCGAACTGTCGATTAGTCGAAATGTAAATTTGCCGAAATGTTAATTTACCGAAATGTTGATGAGTTGAAAAATATCAATCTGCAAACCTAGGCTAGGTTAGGTGAGGTGGTATTTATTTACTTTAGGACCGATCACCAATTTACTTTTGGTCCAATCCCGGATCCCCAAGTAAGAAGCAAATCACATGATATCCTTTGACCTCCTGATTTCATAACTAATAATTATTCAGGGCACAAACAAGTTTAAAAGCACCAATACAATATGGAAAATGACATCAAATTGCTCGTGGCGAAGCAGTGCAGTGCCGAAGGCAATGCCTTAGGAGAGATAACAGGAGAGACACAGGCCAAAGGCCTGAAGCCTGATATACAACCACTTAACCTAAAAATAATTGACTTATTGTTTGCAATCTATTCATGTGAGTAACTTCTTCCTCATCCACGGGTAGGCAAAAATCAGTAGGTCAGGTTAGGTAAGGTTTGATTGTTTTTCTTATATTTTGGTGACATGTAAGTAATAAGTATGCATCATATCAGGATTTAGGAGCTCAAAAAATGGAAGAAGGTGTAAAATTTACCTTTGAAAAGTGAGCTGGTCCTAAAGTTAATACTTACAGGTTAGTCCGCGCCCTGGTGTGGGGGGGGGGCTATTTTTTGCCCCCCCCCCCTCCAGACTTTTCGATATATCCCCAGAACCGCAGCGCCGATCGTCACCAAACTTTCAGTACCCTCCCGGACATCAATTTTACACATTGTGACCAAAATTTTTTTCCAAAGGCTATGATAGGTTGGCCGGAAATGACGTCAGAGTGACGTCATGTTCTGCAGTTTTCGACCCAAAAAAGGGTTTCGCGGGAAGAGCTGTCAGGCCTATAGCTTTGCAAATACAGAAAACGATAAAGACATAAAAGCTGTAGAATTGACAGGGCTATAAAACTGCTATCTCAGATTTTTGAATTTTTGGATTTTGACCCCAAAAATAAAATAGATTTTTTGAATATAATAGCCGAAAAATGCAAAAAGTTTTGGAATTTTGCAAAAACCGGAATATATGTGATAGTCCTTACCGCCTTCTATCCACATACCAAATTTGAGATTGATGCCTCTTTTTTTGGCGAAGTTATAGCGAAAAAACGGTTCAAATTTGATGACGTCAAATTTTCAAACTCAATTTTTAGCAATTCTAGACCCCGTAGCGCAAAACAAAGACCACCGTTAGACTCCCCGTGACGAGCTGCATCGAATCAATACCCATTTTATGCAAAACTATCAACTTTAAAATTTGACCTTTTTTGACCTGACGGCTGACCTTGACCTGACCTTCACCAGAAAGTGACCTAAGCCGTACCTGATAGTCTTATAACCAACACCATTGAGTTGGAAATGAAAAATTGTCCATAAAACATGCATCGCACAACCTTAGTACCTAAAGTTAGGTTCATGTAACCTGACCTGTGACCATTGGTGACCTGACCTGTGACCTGACCTGGTAATGTCAGTGACCTCTTATAGCAACATATGTACTAGGCAACTGACGCCCTATCGCTGATTCTCGACAAAATGCGTTTTCTTCGGTGTTATAGCGCATTCCCTAGATGACCCGTGAACGGTGAAACATTTATCTTTGACCTGACCTGAGACATCATCGGTGACCCCGAGGTCAATGAAATTTGGTTTCCCTCGACAAATTTGACAGGCCTTTCGAACGCCATTTGAATTTCGCGGATCCGTCCAGTAGTTTCGGAGATACGAGGGGGGGGGGCAAAAAATAGCCCCCCCCCCCACCAGGTCGCGTTATAAACAGACCCCACCAGGGCGCGGGTTAGGCTAGGTTAAGTTAGCTTAGGTTAGGTTAGGTTAGGTTAGGTTAGTTTCAGCTAATTGGCATTTCGGCAAATTGACATTTCAACTAATTGACTTTTCGGTAAATTGACATTTCGACTAATCGACATTTCGGCAAATTTACATTTCGACTAATTAGCATTTCGGCGAATTGACATTTCGTCTAATTGACTTTTCGGCAAATTGACATTTCGGCGAATTGACATTTCGATTAATTGACATTTTAGCAAATTAGCATTTCGGCAAATTGACATTTTCGACTTATTGCACGTCGGCAAAAAGGCATCTGAATTCTGATGGTGCTCTTGCTCACGTGACGGGCACGCGCAAGCTTGTTCATCCAGGTCCTCGGTTTGGCCTGTATCGAGCGTTTCAAGCCGCTCAGGAATGTTGGTGTCCGTTTTCGGTCACTGCGAGGTGTGTGAGAACGTCGAGCGACATCCCCTCAAGCTTCACAGTCGCGATAGTTCGGTACACGGTAGACTTTGGGTACCCAGTTAAACTTATTATGTCCTTCGCGCTCTGTCCGGCGCGAACTAACTCACCAATCATTTCTCTCCGACGCTGCTCCATGACTGCGCGATATGTTAGGATTAAAATTTCAATATCAAATGAAAAACAATTGTTGAAATTATATTGTGTAAAATTTCCATGATGTTCCTCCGCATAGCAAATTTTCTGTAAGGTCATGAACTTAGTCCCAATTTATCTGCAACACCCTGTATGTATGTATTGTGCAACCATTTATTAGCTATTTATTACTATCTAAATCTAGATCGATGCCTATCTTGGAAGCACATGCAAAATACCTGTGAGTGATTTGATTCAAAATATTGTATTTTGCCTCATGTGTGTCACATACGTCTCTCTTGTTTTATTGTGATCTTGTACCACTGAAGAAGGGCCACGCCAGAATGTATATTGGTTTATTTTTCTATTTATGATGAAAATGAGCAACAGGTTATTCTTCATCCTTCTAACAAAAGAGTACTTTTTGATTCTGTTTACCTTATAATTAGCATATTTTCCAGAAGCGTAAACTGTATTACATGTAATTGGCTGAAAAGGCCATTAGTGGTAAATGAGCCTGACTTGTTTTATGACAGAATATGCAAAACATTTCAATCAATAAATTGTGTGCCCTTTCCCACCCCAATTGTGGGCATTTGATGACCATTTCTTGAGTTAATATAGGTGTCCCTTAACACCCCACATTGGGGTGCTAAGGGACAGTGAAGAAAAATGATGAAAAATTATATGCAGGTAATTATTTTTAAAAGTTTAATGTAGCAGGCATGTAAAACACCAAATTCCACATAAAATGCTGATAATTTGATGCTTCTATCTCCAACCCTTCTTGAGTTACAAAATGAAACACCTCAAAACTGCCCTTTAACACCCCATTTTACGGTACTCTACATAATTATTATGCACTTTTTTGACGTGATGCACAATTACAAATGAATTTTAGTGGGTGAACGACCGAAAAATCGCCTCCCGTTCTCATAAATGGGAACGCCCATTCCCATATTTTCCGTTCCCAAAAATGGGAGTTCCTATATTTGGGTAGGAAGGTACCACTCAATAAGTACCATAGTTTTGCCTACTAAATTTGAAATCAATTTTTTTGTAAGAAATTCTTGTCCAGACACTGAAGCTGCCATAACGCATGTGAGAGCTTCGGTAATGAACTTGGAGCCAGCGTCCTTTTGAAAAACTATAATTAATCTTTTCATGGCATCAAGTTTCACGATACCATTCAGGGAGTTGAACAGGTGAGTTGAAAAATTGACACAAAAATCTTATTTGAAAGTTAACAATATATTCAGAAATAATTGCATTATATAACCTTGACTCATTTTAATTCAACATTAAATTGTACGAAAAGATTGTATCAGTGGCGTCATATATGTAATCTAAAGTTACTTACCCTTCTATGTTGCCTAAGGAGACAAGAAAAGCTGTTTGGTACCCGGGATAGCAAATCGCCACATCTTAGAACTGAGGCAACAGAAACTGTTCGAACAGTAGTGGCCGAAAACACATTTTTGGGCAAAATTGCCACCCGGGCACCCCTGATGAACGCCGCCATGATTCTTCACCAGTAGCACAGCGCTGCCTCAAATCAAAACTCGTTTTGATTGTTGAAAATGTGATTTTAACAAAAAGTTTGCTAAGTGTTGTGCTAAGTGTGGCACCTTATGAAATGAAAATATTTGATAATTAGGTATTATGAATGAGCATTTAATTTTATTTTCTTTCACATGTTAAGGTATGCAAAATTTGCAAAGAAACTTTTCCCCGATGGAAACCGCAAAAAATGTTACTTTTCGGAATGAGCGATGAACTGACGAAAGCCCCATAGCAAGTAATACAAGGCTTCCTGAGGCTTCAATATCCCCCTAAGCCCTAAGGACTGATGAAATCCTATGCGTTGAATCAAATGTTGGTGTTTTGGTCAGTGGTCACAACAACATAAGCACCAAAACAGTTACTGAAATAGAAATCGGCTAACATCTTGAAATAAATAGATGCAATAACAGAAAATGTTAAAATCTTAGGGTTGGATAAGTAATCTGAGTTTAAAATCTGGTAAATCGACAGCAGAAAACGAGTTATTGCTTCAGCTTGGATCAGTACAGTAAGTTGCCGGAGGTGTATTATCGGTCGTGAAAGAAAAAAACAGCGGAATAGTGCTGTCGTCAGTTGAACAAATTTATGGCGCACATGTTACGTTTATGAATGTAAACAAAGTGGGAGGAGAGTTGCGTGGTGTGTGGCTCTGATTTTTAATTATAGACAAAGAGATTGAATTTGAGCGTCGACGCTGATTGGAGAACAGTCCATCTCGGTCGACGGTCCTTGGCATCAAAGAGGAAAAGTCAAAAGGTATCACCCAGAGTTTTAGAGGCGTCAATTGCAATGCATGGGTCAGGCTGTTCGTACAAACTGAAACATTTTCATTTCAATGTTTGCATCAAGGTTTAAGTGTGAAACTGTTGGAGTTGAATAATGCATTATATTAACATGCAATTGATAGAGGATTTTTCTTCTTTTCTTGAATGTGAGTACTGTGTTATTAGGTAGGTACATTTATTAATACGAACCCTTGTTGTGGGACTCAAAATGGCTTAAAACTGACTTGTAATGACCAAATAGTGGCACATACATTGCTAACTGATGATAGCAAACCCAAACACCAAAAGAAGAACAGATATAAGCTCTAAAAATCAATGGAAAATCTGGTGAAATAATTTGGGGATGCCCTGTTCTAAATAATTTCAATTTGCTTCCAAGTGCCATGTTTCTTTTCAATTTTCTTTTATCGTAGCTTGTTGCAGAGGTGCAGTTTTTGGCTTTTCTTTGGTGAAACTGGCATGTTCATGCTTATCACCAATGAGATGTCATGATTGAAGATACACCAGCAGTTAGCTTCCATGTATGGCCAAAGCAGCGGACTGTTACTAGAATGAGAGCTTAACAAAGATTGCTCTGTATAATGAAATATTTAAAAAGAAGTTATGATCAGATTATCAGTTAGTATCTTAACAGCCAAGTATATTTATTCTTTGGTGCAAGTGTGGCCAAGTAACTTGTAATTTTGTTTGTACCTAACTTAATATAAGAATGGGTGCAAAATGACCTCGCAGTCGGCGCGCCCCCAACCCCCATCAAAGAAACAAACTTAAACTTAGTCCTAACTCAGCCTTACCTAACCTGACTGAACCTTAAATAAAAAACTTCAAACCTAATTGAAAAGGCCCTGCGGACAAGACTGCCTGCAGCGCGGACATCCCCGGACCGCGACACTAGAGGGCGAGCGGCACTCTTTAGATGTCAATCACGAGACGAGACCTGCGAGCAGGAGCACCGCCCAACAGCATCCTCAGAGCGGTGCTTGCGATCAGGGGCAGCAGCGTGTGCGCAGGGTCGACGCGTCCAGGGCCGCCTTCAGGGCACCCAGCTGGAGCAGCGCTGGCCGGCAGCGCCAGCGACTCGGACCGCCCGAGTCTCTCCCGACGAGAGGATGCTGGTGACACCGCCCGGCCTGGGAGGCGCCGCCCTCCGCCGTCCCGTCCGAGCAGACCCACCTTACGTGTGTTTGCGATAGGTGGCTGTGGTGGATTTGGTAGTACCCGGAATGTGTTTTTGTCTGGTCTGGCAGCCCCGCCCGCTGTGCGCCGGAGCGGCGTGTCTCGCTGCCCGCTGTGCGCCGTCCGCTGCCCGCTGTGCGCCGTCCGCTGCCCGGTGTGCGGTGTGCGGTGCTCGGTGTTCGGTGTGCGCTGTGCGGTGTGCGCCGTCCGCTGCCCGGTGTGCGGTGTGCTGCGGTCGGCGGCCGGTCCAACTCCAGTCCTGACGATCCGCCCCTGTCCTCCGCAGAGCGGGCCCGACCGAGCGGCACAGAGCGGGCCCAGCCGAGCGGCCGGCGGCGCCATGGAGGAAGCCGTGGAGGCGGCCTCGCTGCCGCGCTGGCACCAGCTGCCGGCCACCGAGCCGTCCGTGGCGCACTACCGTCAGGCGCCGGCGCGCCACCAGCGCTGCCCCTTCCCCTGCCGACCGGACGTCAACGCCTGCGTGGCCGTCTGGTGAGTGAGGGAGCGTAACTGGCCGTCTGGTGAGTGGGGAGCGTAACTGACCGTCTGGTGAGTGGGGGGGGGGGGCGTAACTGGCCGTCTGGTGAGTGGGGAGCGTAACTGGCCGTCTGGTGAGTGGGGAGCGTAACTGGCCGTCTGGTGAGTGGGGGAGCGTAACTGGCCGTCTGGTGAGTGGGGAGCGTAACTGGCCGTCGTGGGGAGGGGACAGCGCCGTCGGGGGGGGGGGAGAGTGGGACGGCCGCGCCGGCCGTCTGGTGACCCCCTGTGATCCCTCTGTGACCCCCCCCCCCCTGTGACGGTCGCTGCTCTCTCTGCCGCAGGCAGGGCCGACTGTGTGACCTGGCCGCCTCGGCCGTGGTGGTGCCGTCCAATGAGCGAGGCGCCACCGCCAGTCCGGTCAGCCGCCACCTGTTCCAGCGCGCCGGGCCGCAGCTCGAGCGAGAGCTCCACCACACCGGCAAGAGTGAGTAGTGGCCGCCGCAGACAGCTGAACACAGTCAGCCCAGACCCCCCGACCGACCTGCCACTCACAGTGTGGGGCGAGGACCCAGGAGTCCGTTTGTAAGGCGCTGGTGTTATTGATGAGTCGGGGATGGGACCTCGAAGTTCAACCTTTTATCGTGAATCACTGGGGAAATTCTAATGTAAAAAAACGAGGTAGCAGCTGACATCTTACCCCTACTTGCTGACCCCTGACACTGACCCCGCACCTGTCGCCCTCTGACCCCGCACCTGCCGCCCTCTGACCGCTGACCCCGCACCTGCCGCCCTCTGACCGCTGACCCCGCACCTGCCGCCCTCTGATCCCGCACCTGCCGACCCCTGACCCCGCACCTGCCGTCCCCTGACCGCTGTCTGTCCCCAGACGTGACGACGGGCCAGGCGCGGCTGACCAAGGGCTACAACCTGCCGGCGCGGTTCGTCATCCACACGGCCACGCCGCGCTACAACCTCAAGTACCGGACGGCCGCCGAGGGCACGCTGCACTCCTGCTATCGGTGAGCACTCCGCACGCTGCACTCCTGCTACCGGTGAGCACTTCGCACACTGCACTCCTGCTACCGGTGAGCAGGCCGCAGACTGCACTCCTGCTACCGGTGAGCACTTCGCACACTGCACTCCTGCTACCGGTGAGCAGGCCGCAGACTGCACTCCTGCTACCGGTGAGCAGGCCGCAGAGGCACGGCACTCAACGGGACGGTCTGTGTGACACGGGACGGTCTGTGTGACACGGCACTCCACGGGACGGTCTGTGTGACACGGTACTCCACGGCACGGTCTGTGTGACACGGCGCTCCACGGGACGGTCTGTGTGACACGGCACTCCACGGGACGGTCTGTGTGACATGGCACTCCACGGGACGGTCTGTGTGACATGGCACTCCACGGGACGGTCTGTGTGACACGGGACGGTCTGTGTGACACGGCACTCCACGGGACGGTCTGTGTGACACGGCACTCCACGGGACGGTCTGTGTGACACGGCACTCCACGGGACGGTCTGTGTGACACGGCACTCCACGGGACGGTCTGTGTGACACGGCACTCCACGGGACGGTCTGTGTGACACGGCACTCCACGGGACGGTCTGTGTGACATGGCACTCCACGGGACGGTCTGTGTGACACGGGACGGTCTGTGTGACATGGCACTCCACGGGACGGTCTGTGTGACACGGCACTCCACGGGACGGTCTGTGTGACACGGTACTCCACGGGACGGTCTGTGTGACACGGCACTCCACGGGACGGTCTGTGTGACACGGCACTCCACGGGACGGTCTGTGTGACACGGCACTCCACGGGACGGTCTGTGTGACACGGCACTCCACGGGACGGTCTGTGTGACACGGCACTCCACGGGACGGTCTGTGTGACACGGGACTGTCTGTGTGACACGGGACTGTCTGTGTGACACGGGACGGTCTATGTGACACGGCACTCCACGGGACGGTCTGTGTGACACGGCACTCCACGGGACGGTCTGTGTGACACGGCACTCCACGGGACGGTCTGTGTGACACGGCACTCCACGGGACGGTCTGTGTGACACGGCACTCCACGGGACGGTCTGTGTGACACGGGACGGTCTGTGTGACACGGCACTCCACGGGACGGTCTGTGTGACACGGCACTCCACGGGACGGTCTGTGTGACACGGCACTCCACGGGACGGTCTGTGTGACACGGCACTCCACGGGACGGTCTGTGTGACACGGCACTCCACGGGACGGTCTGTGTGACACGGCACTCCACGGGACGGTCTGTGTGACACGGCACTCCACGGGACGGTCTGTGTGACGCGCTACCCTGTGTGACGGACCGTGCCGTCAGTGGCCGGTCACTGTCCCGATAAAAAGGTGCACTACAACGCGCGGCGTACCGTAGAGCGGTGCGGTCGGAGAGCAGTCGAAATATTTAGGTTTTAATGCTTCTTCACCTCAGTGTAGCTCGAAACCGTAATGGAAACATATTACACAAGCTGTTTCACTCTCTCTCTCTCTCTCTCTCTCTCTCTCTCTCTCTCTCTCTCTCTCTCTCTCTCTCTCTCTCTCTCTCTCTCTCTCCCTCTCTCTCTCTCTCTCTCTCTCTCTCTCTCTCTCTCTCTCTCTCTCTCTCTCTCTCTCTCTCCTCCTTCCCCCTTCAGTTCCGTCCGGGTGGCGGTGCGAGTGGCCAATCCTTCCGCCGGGCGCCGGCCGGCTGCCAGCGCGCATCGATCCGCCCCCGCCGCCGCCGCCGCCCCCGCCCCGCCGGTAGTACGGAGGGCCGCCCCCGCCCCGCCCCGCCCCGCCCCGCCCGGGCCAGCGCCGTACGCCAGCCGCTGGTGGTACAATACGGCACCGCTGTGTGTCAGACTGGACAGGACACCCGGAGGGGCCGGGGCGGCGTCCTCTGCACCCGGCGCGGGGCGTCCTCTGCACCCGCGCCTCTGTCCCGGCCGGCACCGTCCGCGGGCCGCGGGGCCGCTCTGGGGGGGGGGGGGGGTTGTCGGTACCGACAGTCGGTGGGCGGCGGCCGAGACTCTAGTACGGAGCGCCGCGCCGCGCGGACCGGTCTACCGGACTGCCGACTGTGCCGACTGTCAGTGGACTGCCACTGTGGACTGTCACTGTGGACTGTCACTGTGGACTGTCACTGTGGACTGCCACTGTGGACTGTCACTGTGTGAGTGTGGACCAACCGTGGGAGGCTGGCTGGGCTGACGACTCGGCTGCGGAGAGCCACGGTGGGTGCTGGCGAGCGGCGAGCGCTGCGCTGGGTATAACTGGCGAGCGCTGCGCTGGGTATAACTGGCGAGCGCTGCGCTGGGTATAACTGGCGGGCGCTGCGCTGGGTACTGGCGGGCGCTGCGCTTGGGTGGTGGCGGGCGCTGCGCTGGGTATAACTGGCGGGCGCTGCGCTGGGTACTGGCGGGCGCTGCGCTTGGGTGGTGGCGGGCGCTGCGCTGGGTATAACTGGCGGGCGCTGCGCTGGGTACTGGCGGGCGCTGCGCTGGGTATAACTAGCGGGCGCTGCGCTGGGTACTGGCGGGCGCTGCGCTGGGTACTGGCGGGCGCTGCGCTGGGTATAACTGGCGGGCGCTGCGCTGGGTACTGGCGGGCGCTGCGCTGGGTATAACTGGCGGGCGCTGCGCTGGGTACTGGCGGGGGCTGCGCTGGGTATAACTGGCGGGCGCTGGGTACTGGCGGGCGGCGGGCGCTGCGCTGCGTGCCGGCGGGCGCTGCGCTGGGTATAACTGGCGGGCGCTGCGCTGGGTGCCGGCGGGCGCTGCGCTGGGTATAACTGGCGGGCGCTGCGCTGGGTATAACTGGCGGGCGCTGCGCTTGGGTGGTGGCGGGCGCTGCGCTGGGTATAACTGGCGGGCGCTGCGCTGGGTGCCGGCGGGCGCTGCGCTGGGTTGGGTATAACTGGCGGGCGCTGCGCTGGGTATAACTGGCGGGCGCTGCGCTGGGTGCCGGCGGGCGCTGCGCTGGGTGCCGCAGAGGCCTCCGAGGCCGGCGCTGGGAGAAAATGCGGCCGTCCCGTGGTACCGCTGTGGGTAGTGGACCGTGGTACCGCTGTGGGTAGTGGACCGTCCTGGGGGACCGTGGTGCCGCTGTGGGTAGTGGACCGTCCTGGGGGACCGTGGTGCCACCGTTCCCTGCTTCTATCCTCAGGATACAGCAATCCTCCTCCTCCACGCCACAACCCCCTCCGGGCTGGACAGGCAACTTTATCTCATGCGGGCTGCTCCCTTGGAGCGGCACCGCTGCTCCTGAGGGAGCGCACCCCGTAGCCGGGTGCAGTGAGTGCCTTGGGGCTGGGTGGCCTGTCCTTGAACGGGCTCAGCCACGGCGACTCACTAGGGTGCCTGCCCAGACCAATGTCTCCCCCTATATCCTATCATCCTCCCGGCTCTGAAATGGTCTCATTGGACCGAAAGAGCCTAACCCAACAAAACAAAAAACAAAAACCGTGGTGCCGCTGTGGGTAGTGGACCGTCCTGGGGACCGCGTTACCGCTGTGGGTAGTGGACCGCTCGCGGTAGACGTGGTACCGCAGTGGGTAGTGGACCGTCCTGGGGGACCGTGGTGCCGCTGTGGGTAGGTGGACCACTCTGAGGGACGGTGCTGGCGATGGGCCGCTATAAGGAGGCGGTGAGACTGCTCTAGAGAGACGCTTTGGAGGGAGGCAGTGACAAAGGTCCTCGGAGACGCTTTGGAGGGAGGCAGTGACAAAGGTCCTCGGAGACGCTTTGGTTATGATGGGATGATGAGCGATAGTCACAGTGAAGCGGTTAAGGGATAATGACAGAGGAGTAATGCAGGTCGGACCGCTTCGGAGAGATGGTGGTGACCTTTTTTAGCGGGGCAGACGCCGGGATAGCCTCTCTCGGTGCGTGTTCTCTCCGTCCGACACCCGGCCACGGTCCCAGACCCCCGTCAGAGAGCTGGGAAACGCCGAACATCCCGGGCCTCTGGCAGAGAGCTGGGAAACGCCGAACATCCCGGGCCCCTAACCAGAGGGCTGGGAAACGCCGAACATCCCGGACCCCTGACCAGAGGGCTGGGAAACGCCGAACATCCCGGGTCCCTGGCAGAGAGCTGGGAAACGCCGAACATCCCGGGCCCCTGGCTGGGGCTGGGACGATAGCCGATGCCGCCCTAGGCGTCTGTATACAATCACACCACCTTTGCGCATTGGAAAATGTGGACTTTTGGAAACTGATACAGTTTGGTTACCTATATAATATGAAGTACTTTATCTTGAGCTAGTTATATGACCAAAGTCAAATAATTTTCTTCATGATGGATGCCAAGCCGTAGGGCTTTCCTGTTCTGTTTGCCTGTTCCTCCATCCGTGTAAAAGAACAGTGCGACATTGGGTTAGTCGGCCGATTGTGGTGCCGGGCTGTGTTTGGAAAGTGTAAATCGTCCATCTGGAGTGGTCCTCGTAATCAATGCTGCACGCATAACGGACATGTTTTGATGGCATCCAGAGCCTGCAAATGGCACAAATGTCGCCCCAGTGACTGTCCTTTCCCGCACTGCCACTTATGGCATCCGGCAATGACAGCTCTGTCATTTGGAGTAAATATTGCCGCGGCTGGTCCGTACTCCGTCCCGTCCCCCTGTCTGTCCCGGTAGCCGTCCCCCGTCCCCCTGTCTGTCCCGGTAGCCGTCCCCTGTCTGTCCCGGTAGCCGTCCCCCGTCCCGTGTCCGTCCCGTCCCCCATCTCTCCCGGTAGCCGTCCCCTGTCTGTCCCGGTAGCCGTCCCCCGTCTGTCCCTCCCATCCCCTGTCTGTCCCGGTAGCCGTCCCCCGTCTGTCCCGGTAGCCGTCCCCCGTCTGTCCCGGTAGCCGTCCCCCGTCTGTCCCGGTAGCCGTCCCGCCCCGTGTCCGTCCCGTCCCCTGTCTGTCCCGGTAGCCGTCCCGGGCGAATCAGTATCGACCCGCGGTGGAGGATGGGGGTGGTGGCTGGGTGGGGGGGGGAGGGGGGCGGCACCGAGAGCCGCGCCGCGGCCGACGGACGAGGGTGGTCCGTCCCGAGCGGCACCGCGCCGCCCGATTGGGAGGGGATGGGGGCATCGCCCGATGGCGAACCACCGCGCGAAATATTACTTTTGGCATAGTGGCGATCATTTCAACACTTATGCTTAATGCTGCCATTATTGCCAACAAACTCGCGATACATGCAAACGACAAACACCTACTACAGGGTGTCTCAAAAGTTCGCTTACACATTTCCCATGTCAATAAAGCATATAAGAACCGGCCAAAAATCTAAGGTTTTGGTGTCCGTGTGTACACTAGACAAATATGCATGCTTTGACAACTGATTCGGAAGGTTGGAAACCAAACCCTTTGCTGTATCTCCAAAAATATTTGCCCATACCGATTTTCGTCACTCCGTCAGCTGCCGGAGGCTGATAAAAGGTTACCAGCTTTCAAGCTCTTGTAGGGGAATCCCCCGCAGTTTCTGCGTCGGATTTAGGTTTGACGAGCTCCCCGGCAACATCCGCTTCTCCCTAAAAGCCGATAGCTTGCATCGACACCATCCGTGAGTATTTTGTAGGTCTTCTCTGGCGCTAACTCCTTCATGAATGACTGGCGCTGACCTCCCAAGCACCATTTTCTTTTTCAAAACAACCCCATTCCTGAACAAATGGGAAGTGCCAGGGGCAAATTTTTCGCAGCATATCGTAGCAGAATGTGTCGGCCATCTGTTTCTTAGACACATTTTGCAAAATTTGCAAATCCCGAACGCTCGTCATTCCCAATGCCAAGACCTTCGCTGGGTTCCGGAGTCTTTTCCTCAGGAGAGGTTCTGCTTTGTAAACGGCCAAAACCTGTCCATCGTGCGGTTTTGTCCGGATTTTGTGTGTAAAAGAAAGCTATTTGCTCCAGATCTGCCTCTTGAAACTTCGTTAGATAAAACTTTACATTAATTGACACTTTTGGAGGGTCACTTGTCCTCGGCATTGACGATTTTCGCATTATTTTCCCTCAAAATTTAGTGTTATAGATATTATAAACAATTTTAAATGATATTTTGTCTTTATTTTATGATGACCTGCAATTTTTGAAACTGGGTAACCTCTGTCTGTGAGCTTCTAGTCAGTTTTCAATAGTTAGGACTGCATTTTCAGCTGCTTTCCGGAGCACGAGTCTGCAGCGGTACAAGGGTCGTTCAAAGCGCTGTTAGTCTCGCATGGTTTTGTCCTTCAAAAATTTTAGCCACCGTTTTTATTAGATGACCATCATGTTGTACTCATCCTCGCCGACACTTTGCCATGTGTCATTTCCGACCTAACCATTCCCATTACTCGTGAAGCAGAGAGTTTCTCAGCCGACCCGAGTATGCGACCTCCATTTTCATGCCTGATCCATGGTCAGAGGCGAACCCTTTTTGTGAGCTCATGAAGGGTCGAATGCGCTTGAAAACAATGAAGCTGTTTGAGGAAGGTTGTTACCAATGCCCATGCAAAATTTCGACTGTTAATTTCATGTTGATTCAGAATTATTGACAAAAAAGCATGGCTGGTACCTGTAAGCGAACTTTTGAGACACCCTGTAAAGTTTGACGTAAACGGTTTGTAGTCTTACGTATTAATTCTTTTTCGTGAAACTGATAGAGCGCCAGCTACATTTCGATGCGTTTTCAAATCGAACCACAATGAAGACTAAGAATAGTGTGGTCTGATCGTCGTAAATGTTGAGGAATTTGGCGAAACGTTCAACAACTTGAATGCAGGGTTCCATAAAGCTGTAAATTCCAATGTAATCGCCACCCTTACGGCTCTGAAATGAGTGGGGGTCAAATAGCCGTCAGATAGTGACAAAGTATTCTGCAAATAACTGCAGCCAAAAATATGGCGGCCTGATAACTGCTAGCTAAAAATGTAACACAGTTGCTAGTTGTTAAGGTTATAAATTGTCTGACGAGCCTTCATCGTCATATTGTTACGCGGCGTTTCCGATTAATGGATTGATATTTCGATGTGATGAGGTGTCGATGCTGATTTTTGTCGTGGTACCGTGATTTTCTTCCTGTTTCCTTTTGTTCAGGTCGTGATGCTCTCAACTAGTCTTCTTTTTTCTTTGTTCAACATCATCGCCGCCGCGTAACGCCTCTCACGCTCGCCCGTCAGTTCGTCGGCAGATCATTAAGCAGTTTAGATTCCCAAAGCCCAAAATGCATAAAAGCAACAAGCTGTCGTGACTGACTAATTTTGTTAAAGTCTGAATTGTGTCAATTTGCACTCTCATATCTCGGCAAACGTTCAGTGCCTACGCATCATAGGTAAATTAAACCAAACAGAGCGCACCAATAATGCCAGGAAAACTCAAAAACCCCATTTACTGTTCCGCTACATGCACGTTACGGAACTGTGAAGACAGAGGGAGGGAGAGGGAGAGTGAAAGAAGAGAATAAGAGTGAGTGAGTGAGTGAGTGAGAGAGAGAGAGTGAGAGAGAGAGAGAGACGGAGAGAGAGAGAGAGAGAGAGAGAGAGAGAGGAGAGAAAGAGAGAGAGAGAGAGAGAGAGAGAGAGAGAGAGAGAGAGAGAGAGAGAGAGAGAGAGAGAGAGAGAGAGAGAGAGAGAGAGAGAGAGAGAGGCTGTTTAGTTTCGACAACTATCGATTCGGCGTTTATGCCATAAAATGGCTAGCGGACACGCCGAGTGGTCCCGGCCGCACCTGCTCAGTACTACTGTCTTACTTGTAAAACTTGTCGGCCCGGGTGACCCGACGAGACTTTGCTAGACGCGCGGAGAGAACAGGGTAAAAGCAAGTTACTAATTCGTTTCGTTCCGAGCCAAAGTTGTATCAGTCAAGTACGTGGTGGTGACACTTGTTAATGCTGTACTGGGTGGAACGAGACAACAATCCCAATAAAATGACGCCTCACTGGTCCTGCGGCGCGCGCGGCTCGGCGCGGCTGTAAAACGATTACCGAATTGGATTGTTACCAAGCGATGAGTGCAGTGGCACCTACACGCTGTCGGTCGGCTGTACTGAGAGCCGTGCTATTCTCTCTGGGATTGAGTATCGATTTCACTGTTTAGCGTCATAAACGAGCAGCTGGTGATGCTGTGCGACTGGTGGGCACGCCCGGCAAAACACGCCCACTCAGAGCGGTCACAAACAATATCGATCAAGGGTAGCTCATCTGACTTTTTGGCAAGTGTTTAATGGTCGGGATGGGCAGCTAGCATCATTATCTCTGGGCTTCCGCAACTGACATTATTACATTCATGCACGTCTCGTTCATTATCCAGGTCATCCTGAAAGCAGCCTATAGCCCAAAATTGACTACAGAGTGGGCCTACTCTGAAGGCAATTAGGAGCTTCCGTGATGAGCTAGCGATAACCACATTCACACAGCAACCATACTTCGGAAGTGGATCCCAGAAATTAGTAGCCCCCTCCATGCGGCTGACTATGGCACCACAATATAGCCCCGTTACATGTGATACCCCCTTTGTCGTGACCTATTGCGGGTCACGGGACTCTAACCACCCCGGGAGTACGCCCAGAACATCTTAACCCTCGGGAATCGCCCGGAACATCTCTGACCACCTCGGGAGTACGCCCGGAACCTCTTCAACCCTCGGGAATCACCCGGAACACCTCTAACCACCTCGGGAGTACGCCCGGAACCCAGAACACCTCTAACCACCTCGGGAGTACGCCCGGAACCCAGAACACCTCTAACCACCTCGGGAGTACGCCCGGAACATCTTTAACCCTCGGGAATCGCCCGGAACACCTCTAACCACCTCGGGAGTACGCCCGGAACCCAGAACACCTCTAACCACCTCGGGAGTACGCCCGGAACATCTGTAACACCTCGGGAATCGCCCGGAATAACCACCACGAAATTCACCCGGATATCAAACAACGGCGTCAACGTAAAGCATCACCCCTCATCTGGGCGAGCGAATCAGACACGCACACTGCGCCGCCGCTTCTCACCAGCGGCAGCACAGGCAATCGAACAACGACGCCTGCCCGTTTCACTGCCGGCTCACGACAGTACGGGCCCCAGACTGGATCTGACCTTCAGCCAGCCAATGGCACGTCTCCAACCATTCGAAAAATGTGTGGAGGCATGCAAGTGGTATCTCCATGCAACGACCAACACTGCCTTAAGTACAATTGCACTACCTTGACCAGAACAGGGAGGTCAGCACTTATTTCTCATTCCCCGACAATTGAAAAAGTGTAATCCAGTCGATTGTGTATACCGTACCAACACGCTTCAGCTCGCTTCCATAGAGAGGTAATTACGGCCACGCATGGCCAGCCGTCGCTGTCTCATTTATGGGGGGGCAGTAAACCCAGCGCTCACAGAGCGGTCGGGAGATCTGGGTTGGTGCTGTAGAAACTTTACAGTAAATAGGCGTCACACACCATTACATGTGTCCTAGAAGTGGGCTCGTCGCAGCTCTCACTGGTGCAGGGCATGATGTCGACAATGACAATAAGTAGTAATAATCTACCCCATTCGATATAATGGTAACGACTGGAATATTTTCCTGGTAAGGGCGGCTGGTGTAACGCCAGGCCGTATGTCTCTCTTAACCACTACAATTGTTGTCCCGTAAATTAGTCGCTGAATAGAGGAATGGAGCCAACTGACAATGATTGTTTATCTTATTGACTTGGTCCCAAAATCGTTCGGTTATCTGCTGCACTAACAATCTTACTTAATAAATTTCAAGTTGTCTGTGTGTGTGTCATGCCTTATGTGTCTTAAAGCGCCGGAACGGCGCCGCGTATCGACGTGAAATTTAGTGGCCACAAACTTTGGGTGGGGCTGACCATCGTATCAAAAGAAGGGCGCAATCGGACCAGGGGTGCGGCGTCAGCGCGCGAATCTCTGCCCCAGGCTGGGCGCGGCCGGCGCTGAGCAGAGAGCACGCGCTTTAGGCTCAGTTGTTCGCTTAAAAAACTGAGTGAAAAGCATCAGAGCCGGGAGGTCGTTGACCTTTGACAACGAAGGCCGACAAAAGGCACCGCTCGCCAAGAGGATTCGCCAGTAAATACAATTAATTTGTTTTTGCAATATCTCAGCCGTTTCTGGCCCGATTTAGCTGAAACCTGGACTGCCGGTGGTAGTGTAGGGTAGGGTAGGGTAGGGTGGGTAGGGTAGGGTAGTGTAGGGTAGGGTAGGGTAGGGTAGGGTAGAGTAGGGTAGGGTAGGGACTAGGGGTAGGGTTGGGTAGGGTAGGGTAGGGTAGGGTAGGGGTAGGGTAGTGTAAGAGTAGGGTAGGGTAGGGGTAGGGTAGGGTAGGGTAGGGTAGGTTAGTGTAGGGGTAGGGTAGGGTAGGGGTAGGGTAGGGTAGGGTTGAATTGAGTAACATCCTAACTTACAAAGGGCTCGAACAACTCGCATGCATCACCATCATGCTTTACAGTTCAATCAAAAGCAGTTACCCAGCTTTACACAAATAATACCAATAAAAATGCAAGTTTCTACACCCAAACTCATGCATCCGTTAATCATACATATCAAAACATACAGTTATCGCGTAAACCTGTATTCTAGTCTTACTTAATAAATTATAAGTCGTGTCTGCGTCCGTCAGCCTTATGTGTCTTAAAGCGCCGGAACGGCGCCGCGTATCGACGTGAAATTTACTGGGCACAAACTTTGGGTGGGGCGGACGATCGTATCAAAAGATGGGCGCAATCGGACCAGGGGTGCGGCGTCAGCGCGTGCATCTCTGCCCCAGGCTGGCCGAGGCCGGCGCCGAGCAGAGAGCACGCGCGGTAGGCTCATTTTCTTCGCTTGCAAAAGTGAGTGAAAATGCTGGGAGCCAGCTCGGGAAGTCAACTCTGTGGATATCAAGAATACAGGTTTGCGATTAGGATCGGGTATAGGCGCAGGTACAGGTATTTGGTAGAGATTTCACCGATAAATAAAATAAATTTATCATCAAGCGAGCGAAGCGAGCAAACATTCGGATCAGTAGTTCTCCTAGAAAAGCTATGCCTACCTTCTATACAATACAGGTAAGTAACTACCAAAGACAACCCTACTTCAATAAACATACAAGTTTTGACAACCAAACTAATGGCCCCATCAACAATATCTATCCAAACGTACAGTTATCGCGTAAACCTGTATTCTAGTTTACATAAATTATAACGATGCCGCGTCCCCTACTAAATGGCTGACGCTAAATAGGCGAACCGGCGCGCCTGGAATTCTGTTGAGTTTGGCGGAGTGATATTGACGTAGTTTACCAAATATGCTAGACGCCCTGAATGTCAATTAGGTGAATGGTCCTTCAGCAAGTATAGGACATTACTAAATGATAATGATACGGCGTCCCCGAAACTAAGCGACTGCCACTAATTGGGTGAACGGCGCGTCTGGAATTTTACGGAATTAGCCAAAGTGATAATGACGTAGTTAACCAAATCTACCAGTCACACTGAACGACAATAAGAGGGTTCTTCAACAAGAACAACAGAACAGGTTGACAATAGAATAAATTGACTTCTACGTAATGCCCCCTTGGCATCGATTTCACTGCTGAGAGCCACTGTACCGAAATGTAGCATTCATCACAAAATTAAAGGGACAGTATCATCGAAAAAAAATCAATGTATGGAGCTGATTTTTTTTTTACTAGCATCTCTTATTTTTCTGAATCAGAAAAACATAGTTTGAGGACCGAACTCGGTGAAAAATATTGCAACCACATTTCATTTTCATGATTCATTTTCATGAGCGAACCACCACTATACAAGCATGGCCGCCAGTTTGGAAGCATGCAAAATTACTACAGAACTGGCGCAGATAATACATTATTGACGCTACGCTTACGCGGTCGTTCTTCTGATTGAGTTGTCCTTAGGGAGAGGTAGCCTTAGGTATTGCCTATAAAAATATCACGTGACAATTGGAGGGAGTGACAATTGGACGTGACAATTGACAATGGGAGAAAATATCACGTGACAATCACGTGATAAACGTCATACATTGGAGGGAGATTGTGATTCAAGCTGGAGGAATTCCTTTGTTGAGCCGCTAGAATCCGAAGGAAACAGCGGAAATTGCCTACGACTATTTAATGAATTTAACGGTGATGAATAAGTGCGAAAAACGTTTTGGCTTTATAAAATTTGATGAAATGACCAGGGTAAAAGTTTTATTACTGGCGGTCAATTCAAAACGGCGCAAACATTTAAACAGTGAAGATAGTGAAGCACGATTCAAAGTGTAGTACACCTTTCGTACTTTGAGCGGCGATAGCGGGATAACGGTGTGGAGCTTCGAGGATCGGTCTTCAGTTCCCGGACCAGAAAGGTGGGGCCTATGCAATGTCAAATTTCATCAAAATGGTGATACTGCCCCTTTAAAGCGGGCGTCACTTTACGTTTTACGGGGAAGTTAACTAGTAATAAAACTAGACACTATATCTGTTCCTGGTCATGCGTTTTCTATGCCTGGGTTTCATCTAGGAAACGTGCCTTTACCGAGAAATATAGTAAAGTTGGAAACCAACGTACTCCGCACTTAACCATGACGTTTTATATGAAATACAATGTAAAACGTTCAGCCGCAAAACATTGAATGCGTGTATAGGGCGTAATTGATTGACAGCATTGCGTAATTTGCTTTGTTGGAAACGTTTATTTGCTTTGTTGGAGTTTAAATGATAGTAGTAAATAATTAAACCAGAATTGTTCATTGTTTTACATCACTGTCCGTTCACACGATTGTAACTATGAAAAGGTAGTACCAGGGGGGGGGATTTCAGTTTATGGGGAAATTACTTGACAAGTTTGCTCAAACTTCCGAAACTTGAGCTAGAGCGTTCTCCGAAACTAGAGCGTTCTCGGTCCGTTGTCAATTTGTAAGGTTTTCTTAGTGAAATAGTTAGTAATTTATAAGGTTGTCGTAACTTGTTTGTAACATGTTGAGAGGTTCCGTGGATTGCAATCATGATTGTTAGTAATTACGGTCTGTGACTCAAGGTCTCATTACTTTTCGTTATTTACTTCAGTTCTCTTAAATCAGCCTTTGATTTTTAATTCGTCAATAATGAACTTACTGCAAAGCCTCTGAGTACCACGCTACTTTAAGGTATGCTAGTACAAAAGGAAATATGGCTCTCATCAATGTAGGAGGGAATGTGGCGAAACATGTTTAGTTCGAACCGCGGAAATCAGAAAATCAGTAGGGCCGGTTACTTGAACGATTTTATTGCAACCATGGTATACTGGTTTCGATTTGGCTCAGTGAATTATAGTTGTACACAATCCAATGAATTACTTGTTGCAGATTTGAGAACCCCAAATTACTCGACAATATACCTTAATCCGTTAACGAGTCATCTACGAAAAACAAACAAAAATCGAACGCTCAATCATTACTTCAAATCTGGAAAGGTGTTTCATTTTGGACCTCCTTGAGCTGCAATTGATGAATAAGCGAACTGAGACCTACCAGCAAGTAACAACTATCCGGATAATTGCGAATGCATACAGGGAAACTACCGTCAAATGGCATGCTGAACTCTGAAGATTTTTAAACAAGATGTTGATTACTGAATTTATGTGGTATTGTCAGTTGACGTCACTCAAGCGTTTAATATGAACTAATGACGGGAGGTTAATAGCATAGTAATAAGCATAGATTAGGTACCAGGACAGCCCCAGATCCTCAACGCTCAACTCGTCCCACTCCCCTTAATATTTGACCAAATTATCATTTGTTAGCCTTGCTACCCAATTATAGACCACAATTTCTGAAACCCGATCTACTCTACTCATCTACCCGACCTCGTCAACCCATCACTTCGATCATCTCCCTTTCGTTATAGCCCCTCATTCGCCATCATAGTCTAGTTTCGTCAGTGGGTTATATTGTATGTTACGTGCTAATTTCAGGAGGAGGGAGTAGGGGTGGCAGTTGGAGCACGACATATTTGACATGCACAATCCGCGTCATACACACGTGAATGCACACAGACATAAACTAACTTCAGAGCAAGCGAAGGCGTTATAGTGGGTACGAGATTT